TTATAGCCTATGTGTTATTCTGATGTAAAATCTATGTTACTGTAAAGTTTCATTAAAATCCGTGCAGTACTAATGCGTGAAATAGTAACAAACATCCATCCATCTTACATCCAAAAATTAAGAATAAAATATTTGCACATCTACAAAGGACGCTAAAAATAAATTTAACATAAGCTATTTGAAACCTCTATTATCACTTTGCTGGAAGACAATAATTACATAAATATGATTAAAATAAATCTTATTCCACAATATTGAAAATGATTTTTGTTATCAAATAGGAATATGTGTATATATTATATTTAAGAATCCTATCGCTTTTACATTTTATCAATCGATAAACAATTTGATCGCTTCTTCTTAGAGGTCAAACCACGGCTTTACCACTGAATTCGTTGATACGAGATGTTTGTAGCAAACACCAATTCGCTCTTAGAAGCTCGTATTAAAAGGATACTTTACACACTACAAACATGTGATGTGAGAGCGACCGATCCAGTAAATAGCTATGAAAAATAGTTGCTAGTGAGGAAAATAACAAAATATCGAGATAGGCTACGTACAAAATCGACTGCGTAGTTATACTATGGGCGTCTCATGGGCACGTAATATTCGTTGCACTTTTCATGTATATAAGTTTATATTACTTTATCTACCCAAAGGTAGTCTGGAAGAGATTGCTTAGACTGGCGTTATACTAATTTATGCGTACTTGTTATTTTAATTAATTTCTTTATCTAGTGCAGTAAAGAACATAATTAAATAAATAGGCGACTATTGCCACTTTATCTAATGTGATATATTGTGTCCACTTATTTACCATTCCTAACACATAATAAAAACCAAACCCAAACGAATACCAAAACTGTAATGAAAAGGGTTACGACTTCTTCAGTTTAATTGTAATAATTCGTTTCTTAGAATCTCAATATTAATATTCCCCTCGCTATTATAAGGGAATATATTTCAATAAGTAACATGACGTATTTATATGTATTAGATATGACAACATTCTTTTGTATTGCATAAGAAAAAATTCTCATAATGCAATACCAAGAACAATATGCTTACACACGTTAACATTACGTATTTATTCGCAGCTTTATTACGAAGGCATTTAAATCAATTTCATTTGACCATAAACATTTATATATACATAAGTATCATACGTTTGTTACAATGAAATCATAATTTATACGTATAATTAGAAAATCACGGGATCTTACCACGTTTTATTTTTATTGAGTTCGCGATATTACGGCATTGTTACAACTGCCATCCGCATAAATCAGCTATACCGGATATACTTATACTATACTTGATGGGATCGGGTCCCAATCACTGTATTGAATTACACCAACCGAAGGTATTAACATCAGAACGTAAGATATCCAAAGAATGCTTAGAGATGCCATATAAATTTACACTATATACCGCGTCAAATTTAAAACAGTATGAAATCATAATTATACGTAAAATTGGAGCTACTTTAGAATATTACAACGGCTCACTAGCTGATTTTCTGTGGTTGCGTGTACCCTGTAATTTCACTGCCATACGTCAACCTTCTATTAATAAATAAAAAATAAAATATTCAACCAAGCTCACCTCTGTTGAAAATACAAGCACGTTAGGGAGAAAACGGCTAAAAATAAAATAAATAAGGTGACACGATTCCTTTGTACTCTTACCTCACCTCAAATATTTACAAGTAAAATGTTTTAAGTAAAAAGGTTTGATGAATTGGCTATATAACATCCATTCTATCTAAAACACCACATTATTATTTAACTGTTTCTAAAATGTGTTAATATGTATCGTTTTTTTACTAGAACAGACTTTGTAGAAAATATCCTATTTTTTTATTGAGGTATTTGGGCTATTGTCAGACCTGTATGGATCTATTGTATTCGCTCTTTTACAAAGTTCGCTACCTAGAACCATGAGGAACAAGAATTGGAGGATATTCTTAGGGGCGATGGTTTTTATCTCCTCAGGATAAAGTGTATACTTTCCAAATATAGAGATATTTCTTTTAAGTATCTGTGGGCTACAACAACAACGTATAAGCAGGGTTTCTGCTTGGCAAAATAATTATTATTATTATTATAATGATCTCGCACAGTGCCATCTAGACCCAAGTTAAGCTAAAGCTTGTGTTATGGATACTAGGCAACTGATACAAATACATACATTTTTTTTTGTAAATACATACATACAGAAGTTAGACAGTTCGCTAAATCGCTAGACCACCGAGGCCGTAATTTACTGTCCTCAGTATTTTTTTCTATTCGATATTTATTTTGTTTACTTTCGTGAAGGTTAAACATATATAAGCGGAAAACATAATGATGGCGCTATAATATACCTAATAATGAACGAATCGATAAACCTAAAAATATCTACAAAAGTCCTCATATGAATTAATTATATTGATATTGACTTTGATAGCCAGACGGCGGACTTTCTGTCAAAGTTGTTTACTTTTCTAACATTACCTAATATTAGTAATCTTGTTGAAGAGAAAACTTCGATGTTTACGCGGATTTAGATGGAATTTGATACACACATAAACCATATCGTATATAATGAGGTATTCGATACTTTTTATTCATGCTGCCAAAGCCGTTAAAAAAGTTTTTTTGCTAAAACATTTTATCAAAAGCCTTCTGTAATGAACTTGACAATACACAGCCATGTAATTATGTTTATTTCATACTAGTTGTAGCAGTTTCACCCGCATGAAATTTATAGCCTATATGTTATTCTGATGTATAAGCTATGTTAATGTAAAATTTCATCAAAATCCATTCCGTAGTTTTTGCATGAAAGGGTAAACAAACATCCATCCATACTGACAAACTTTCGCGTTTATAACATAATTCAGGATTATCTATTGTAAAAAAAACCATGCTAATTCTAACATGAGAATATAGAAACACTCCCTTAGCTTTGAACAATATTTATTTTTCTTTCTGTGATATTTAAATACATATCGAGCGTAAACAGGGTTGACAATGAGGATCCCCTTATATCTACGATCTTTGGACTTCGATACGAGAACATTTCCTTCCGTACAAGTTTTTATGAGATTTTGACTCATGGAAACAATTTAAAATGCGATGATATACGGAATTAATGAGCTAAATTGAAGTAATATCTCTTTGACTTCTTCATACGAGGCTAAATATTTTATCGTTGCCAACCCTACAAATGGAATACGTTTCGTGGAAGTCATAAACAATAACATAATGTTAACGACTCACCTGTATGTTATTCTATCAAATACATTTTATTGAACCGGGTGTTATTTTGCGGAAGTTCAATACACGTGTCACAATGTGGGTGTGGACATGTTGACAGTCAGATTTTGGTCATTAATTGGGAAGGTCATACCTCTACTAGAATAGGTATTGGAAAACATCAAGCACATGAGTACAATATATAGTACCGTACTAGAAAAATTAAAGAATTAAAAAATTTATTTAAACAAAAAACAAAATTATATCAATAACATGTTAAACGTAAACAACTACATTAGTTTATGAAAACTGTGCTGCAGTTATTTGCGCCCATCTCTAGAGCATTCTATACAATTGAAATAAAAACAAATGAAAATAAATGAATATACTACTACTGATTTTTTTGTTCTTTGTAATTGCAATGGCAAAATAAAAAGAAAAATCAGATCAGGATATTCATCTCATTAATATTATAAACGCGAAAGTTTGTTACTCTTTCACGCAAAAACTACTAAGCGAATATTGATGAAACTTTACAGTAATTTAGCTTATACATCAGAACAACATATAGGCTATATATTTTCCGCGGGTTAAACCGTGGGCACAACTAGTACTCTATAAAAGCTTATCTAAAACAACATCCAAGCATTATATTAACATGACCCACGTGATTCGTAGTAAAAACAAGGTGACCGCCGAAACTGAAGAATTGTTTTCCATCCACAAAGTGTTATGGATGTTTGACAATCCATATACACATTGAAAGCATTCTGTTGTTATCCCTATATTACCTGAGCTTGTATAATGTTATATAAAATCTATCTACATATGGATATATATATATATATATTTCTTCCGTATCGATACCAAGTGCCATTGTTGTAAGAAGTGAAGCTTTAAAGGTGAGGGTTTGAGTCATGATGAAAGTCTCACGATTACAGGTTTCATTTTATCTTCTTTTCCTTTTGGGTTCTACGCCTAATTTTCAATTCGTGAATATAACACTAACTCGAAAATCTGACATTATATACCTAACCCTACCGCAGTTGGTATAAAAAATTAAGATAAAAAAGGTACTGTTTATGAATGTGTATAAATAAATCTCTAGACAAGTATATTGCTTAAATACAGATTCATAGCTTCAAACCCGTATAGAAATGGGATTAAGTTGACGTAACCCTTATTGTTTCAAGGGAGATTTATGAAGTTGGTAAGTTGATTCCCCGTACCGAGAGATTGGTTTTCACTGTACCACGCTATAAAATAATAAACAAAAGATGTTCCAAGAAATGGTTAACTCAAGGTTTTGTAAATACGCTTTGAAGAATATTATTACTGAAGATTCTTCGTTGGCAAAATATTGAATGATCGCAAACAAATTGGAACGCAGATAAATTCAGGTAAAGTAGACTTAAATTTTCTCAGCTTTTGCTGAATCAAATGCGGTACTTGAGGTATTAATGGGCCTGTATCAACATTTTTCGTGGATATGCTATAGCCTTATCGATATTATAAAATGTCTACTATGATTTCTATTAAAGATGACGGAGGAATTTAGCGCATCAATTAAAATTGATAATAAAAAGCCTAAAAATTTTGATTCCAATAAAGTAAATTAAATATCAGACAGATTTTGTCATTGCTCCAAATATACATTGTTTAAACACCGTAATTAAATAAAGAAGCAAATAAAGGTCCAAAAAAGGTTAAGAAATCTACAAATTGCCGGCTAAAACTAAACAATTAAAGATAACATACCTTTTTTCCTTGATCTTTGTGCTCCTGGACATATTCCTGCTTCAATGGTTCAGTCTGTAAATCTGGCAAGGAGTGGCTGATGCGAATGGCTGCTTGACGAGATAAGGAGTCGCAATTACTATCTTCTGACTCGCGTCTAGTCCTATAAAGAAAGAGAGCAGGTAAGAAGGAAAAGTCAAGAGATCTTTATAATGATAATAAGTTTATGCAAAAACAATTACAAAAAATGGATTTCACTAAGTTTCTATACGCAGTAGATATATATAATGCAAGCAGTTCTTAAAAATTATTTAACACCAAATATAGTGCAGTACTGAAACTATGCCAAGTCTGTATCTCAGACAACAGATCTTTGTACTAATTATTAATTGTCAGATCTTTACACGAATCATTTTATTGTAAATAAGATATTTTCGTCTGTCCACGGCCAGTTTTTTATTCATTCTTTTCTTTTTTGACTTTTCGACTTGGTCCAACTCCTTCAACTTGGACCAAGTCGAGAAGTCAAAAAAGAATAAAAATAGGGACGTAAGTACATTATTTACCATAATAATTATTAAGACCCGATTAACTATATTATTAATACGTAGTAAACGCTATTAAAAAAAAGATTATCGCATCTCTAAGCCTATCTTTGTGCATATTCTACTGCATATATCACGAAAAGTATTATGAGGAATTGTTCGGATTAATACCAGCTGCTGAATTTCACCATCACACTGCCCTCCAGAAACTAAAATACCCATACTTATCATCTGGATGAATGGTGATCGTCCACCGTGCATTTTTCCAAGAAACATTTTGCCACGTACATCCACATTGTAGAATCACCCCCCAGCATTGATATTTCCAAATCGATACTATTTTGAAACGGCCGTTAACGCGCCGTTGCTCAAACTCAAAGATGTTGCTAATAATATAATTTTAGCATAACACATCCAATATTAGATGATTTCCATTATAGTCAAAATCATCTAATATGATATAATAATACAATAGACTGCATCATGTTTGAATAATGCAATGTTGTGTAGCATTGTTGAATATCGGCTGTTAGGATCTACGCAGAATCTATTATTCGCTTTGGACAAGATCCCGCATTCTGTTTCCTAGGGACTTACGGTATATATGTTGTAAGGTATTATACGAGTATTTCACAGAATAATAAGTACACGAAAATTGTTATCCCTCGTCTGTATAGACCCTTATTATTAAGGTAAATGTAATATTCAAATTGGCCCACATTTCGTTAAGCATACTGTTGTAATTCAATTAATTCAATGAGACAGAAACCAACATATGTGAAACTAAACTTTAACCGCGATTTCCGTCTTCCTTTTTTTTTAATAAATGATAATCTATGTACTTCCTTGTGATACAATCTACACATTAAATTGTATTAATTTTCATTCAACGAACAGACAGACAGACATTATTTCGATTTTGTAATATTAAGTATGAATGTCTCTGTTAAAGAAATATTGTTAACTTTAACGCATATTCTTATTTCAGTTCAATAGACAATTTGTAAAATCTTGTATAGGAAATTAGAAGGAAGTGAACCAATTTGAATAAGAGATATATTAATGATTTCTTATGAACAAAATTATGATGATGAGACTTCAAATTCGATTGCCAATTGTGAAGCAATTATACGAAAAATTATGAAATCAAAACCGTATTGTATACTCAATGTTTTTCTATAATCAACTATCTATTCACAAAAAAATCTAACCACATTTGCAATATTGAGATATTATATACTAAAACACTAGATTAGACACTTATTGCTCTTATCTTAATCAATTGCGGTAACTACACTGCAACGTGGTAGTGTTATCAAATATTTTACTTATATTTTAAAATATAAGTAAATTTTTGAACTACATAATGTAAATATGTGTAGTTTTTATTATAGTTATTTAAATTTTTTGCTCGTTTATATTACTAATTTTAGTAGCTTGAGATGATTATGTGGCGGTTTTCTGTAATTTCAACCAGCAATCTTTGAGAAGTCTATCAACCATTTTAGTTTTCTAACAAGTTATTTCTATATCAATATCAAGATATTCTTCCAATAATATAAGCAGAAAAAGAAAGAGGGAATACAAAAAACATCACTGTAAGAATAAATTAATATAAAAACAATACAGTTGTACAAAAGTTACTTGTATTGTTGTTTCTCTTGTTATTCACCCTCTATGACAACTAATTAATCATTGTGACATCATATCATCACACTAGTGCGATGACATTTTATCAAGCTGGTTTGGTAAGGTGCCATTTGATTTACATACTTAATATACGAAAAGCATTCTATCCACACTAATATTATAAATTCGAAACTGCGTCTGTCTGCTTGTTACCTTTTAAGATTTAACGACTGAATGGATCTGAATCAAATATGAAGATAGACTGTATTACGAGGATACACAAAAGCTAGCGTTTATCTCAAAAAAAAAAATATGGGAAGGGGTGTGTTTTTTATGTATGATAATGGAATGGTGCACCCGCCTGCGCTAGTGGTTTACGTTAGCTGTACACCAGAAAGATGATAGCATAGATATGAAATTAAGTAATTTTGCCCATCGTGGCGAATTTACCACTATTTTGATGGTTTTCAGGAGGGACCGCGTAGAGGTCGAACTGACATGGTATAATGCAAGCAAAGACTACTATCTACATTACTAAAATTCCGCTAGTTATCATTAGGTCAGTCATCTAGTGGTACATAATACCTCAATGTCCTGTCTATATGATGACAAAGCTTTCCTAATGAGCGGTAGATTAATAAATGATTTCTATTATATATTCACCTGCCCATAATCCAACGCCACGTGGCGGCACACTGGTAACCGACAGCGGCCAGAAGGACCGCGGCCATCGCTGCTAGAAGCAGGGCCGCCGCGTAGTCCACTGTGCTGCCGCGCACCGCCGACTGGCCCTCCAAGCCTTCCGGTGGCCACGCAGCTGTAAACAACATCATTTGAATGGTTTGTCGAATGCACAAGAAACCTGAAGCATCATCAGTGTGAAGTGGACACGGATGGCCTCCCTCTATAGCAATGGCATTCTCGGTGCTTCGTACTTTTGTTTGTCATTGTGTCATTATATAATTAAAAAAACCTATTAATATTAAAGCGTGGGTAATAATTCGTAACAACTAACAAGATCATTGAATATAGAGGGAAAGGCGCAAATAAGAAGTTTGCCACGTTAATATTATCACATTATTATGTTTTATGAAATTTGAATGAGTTCATTTTATATTTACATATATTTTTATATTTATTGTCAGAAAAAATACGTATTAAGTATAGAAAATATGTATATAATTGACGTAGTATTTTTATCTAAGATTAAAAGATGATTTTAAATTTAAATATTTTATTTTAAATATATACAAAAACAATATATTCTAAAACTAAAGACTAAAATAAGATTATACGCGAAGATAAACACTTCTTTTAAACAAAATGAAATATTCAATTTTTCTTTAAATTTATTTTAAATGTAAGTTCTTAGTAAGTTTTTAAAAGTCGTTCATTATTTTTAAATTTTATTTCCTAATACCTGTCATTTCTTGGCATCCTAATTAAATAAATAGCCTAAATGTTCAAATTATATTCCGTAGACTAACTTAGTACCTCAGTAAGTAAAGACAATATATCGAAACTATATATCTTTCTAATTAATATATAATCAATATTAGTTTGTTATATGTATTTTGAGTGCTTTTATCCTATTGTAATATAACAAAATTACACGGACATTGCCGCAAAGGTTCGTAACCTTTATAGCAAAATTAAATCTTTTGACAATTCACTTGTTGTGCCGGGAAACATATTTGAAAGAACATTTTTGTAATTCTACAATATTTCAAGCTTACAGCAAAGACAAACGGCAAATGTCAAAGGGTAGAATATGTCATTTGTACTTTATCGCAAAATACCTCTGAACTTTCAAACGATATCTTTTGTGGGCTTGCACAGCATCTGGCAATCGATGTTTCTTCTGTAGCAATGGAGTCTGGTACCTACAAGTTATCTATAAAATTTATCTTTTGACTGTTCAGAATATATAATAGAAGTATATTAATAAAAATGTATCTTATCACGATTGCTAGCTTCAGCTACTATATTATAATGTTCACAAGATGTTGAACTCAACACTTGTGATATTTTTTTTCATTTTTAATTTAACATTAATTTTGACTTTTTATTTTTATTTTAATTTTATTGCAATTATTAATGAGACGAGATGCGCAATATCTCAAAATGAAAATCATTACATAGTATAAAACAATGTCGCTATCGCTGTCTGTCCATAGGGACGGACAGCGATAGTAGTATGCTTAAATGTTTACAACTACGCAACGGATTTTGAAGCGGTTTTTGTAATAGAAAGAGTGACTCAAGAGGAAGGTTTATATATATAAACATGTATACCCGTGCGAAGTCGGGGCGAGTAGCTAGTAATAAATAAACGAATTAAAAAGGGCAGGGCGAACGTTGTCTGGGGATAGTAATGAAAAAATAACTGACGTAGCATATCTATTAAATTATTTTAATTTGTCGTTGCTTTTTTTATTCTAATAAATTAGAGCTAGATAATAGATTTTATTCACACATTTCTACTTAAAATGTAAAATTACAATAAATTGTTTAAAACAGCACCACTCAAGTTTCTTTCTCGTTCTTGTTGTAATGGGCCAGCTTTCCTAATGAGCGGTTGATTAATTATTTATAAAAACTGAATAAATATAAGTTTCTTTATTATTTGTTTCTTTCACTAAAAACTCAGAAATATAAATGACTGACTGATTAAAAAACCATTTTTGTTATCGATCAGTTTCAAACTCAGGTTCTAAAGCGCTGTAATAAACCACTAGGTCACGATGTCTACCTAAATTGATTAAAACTATTAATCTAAATAAATGTAAGAGGTCAAGTTGACTGTCGAACTAAATTCGAGAGCAAATAACCAGACGAAGACTGACCTTACCGCCATTCGGGTGGAAAATCTTCTGATACTACAAATAAGCAATGTTTACTTAGGTGAATTGCATAAATTAATAAATAAAAAATAGCAACATAAATAGAGAGCGCTGTGGCCTATTGATTCATCATTCCGACCTCTAACCAAAGATCGTGAGTTGAAATCTGGCCGACACTGATAAACCTTATGTGACAATTTATATTTCAGACTAACTCTCCCGTGATGGAGACACTTTTTTTAAACAAAATATATTTCTAAGAGAAGCTTAGCTTGTATTATGTGTACTATAAAAGTAATATAAATATATACACATATTTTTTGTGAACACATACAAAGACAACATTCAGACCATCATACTCATGAATACAGCTGTGCGAGGAATCGAACCTGCAACTATCGGAAGTAAAGGCTTGGGGAAAACCTCACACTGTTTCATAATTTTTTAGTGGCTTTTCGATGTTATATATATTACTAACTTACTTACTTGTATCTTCGTATGTTTTTTTTTGATCCCATATTAGTACCGGGGACCATGCGGATGTTTAATCATGCGAAAAAGTAACAAACCTTTCGAACTAATTTGATTTGTCATTGGTGTTTCTATCACTAGAGAGTCATTCAAAAATACATATATAAATTGACACAAAAGGTTTGGTATTGGCCAAATACATATTGATGAGTTTTCCATTCAAGTCCACATGTAAACTACTGAGTCACAAAGCTCTCAGCTACCATTTTAAGTATATCAATACCTAATAATTATATTACAATATCTGACTACCAACTGTAACAACTTTTTGATTTATGGCGTGTAAAATGTAATTTTGTACCTAAATATAATACAACAAACACCAGGACTACACAAAGTTTCGCCATTTTAAGTTTAAATCTGTTTATTCTGGTAAATAATGAGCATACCGGCTGGATTTAATTGTGTTTGGAATAATTATGATAGATTAGGATTATTTTAAACTATCCTAATATTATAAAGAGATGATATTTGTGTGATTGGAAGTTTGGGGTAAAAAATATTTTGAAATTTCTTTTAGTGTTGGATAGCCCATTTATCGACGAAGGCTATACGATATATAGCATTCACAGACTGTACAAGTACAATACAAGTAAACCTAGAATGTGCGGGTCAGCTAGTAATATTATGTAGATATATAACCAAAAGCAATAGTGTGTCTGTGTGACATACATCAATACTAGTCTTCACCACTCGTGTTTCTCTCCCTATCCAGCCAAATCTAGTAGGAGCCTGCTAGTGCAACTTTAGATACACGTTCTAGTATAGAACTTACTACAGTTCTAGACAGGCCAAGATTTGTTCTTCTTTAGGATATATGAAATGATTACTATAATAATTTTATTAAGAGCCGCCGATATTTTAACACTGTTTTATGATATACAAGTACATTATACCTATTGGTCACCGCTCGACTAGAGATAGCAGAGCATGTGAACAGTTATTACGAGCAGGCAAGTCTGTCTACCCACTATTTTAGTTATTCTACGTACACAGCTACCATTACTACTAGAAAAAAGCAATAGTCACAATAATAATAGAATGGAATCATCATTCATCTAAAATCATATTTAAAGAACAGTAAAAAGCATTTTCCATTGTTCATTGGTTTTGTAGGCATGATATTTTGAGCCGTGTAACAAATACATATTAGATATACATTCATTATTTTCACATTGTTTGTTTACACCGCGGATTTTGTAGCCTTGGAGACAAAACACACTTGAACATCTTAGCTATTATAATTTTGATATTTCAAATTCTTCTTTCACCATTCCAGGGACGTTACAGACATGGATAATATTTCTATCTCTTGAAATACCATCAAGTGATTCGGGCACGAGTCTATTAAGTGTTACGCTATGGCAGACTTGTATTTGTTATTATCCTTTAGAGGTTTCATATAGTCCTTAATACGGCACGATATACCTCGCTTGTTTTTACTTATGTACGAACTGCGCTGTTGCTATCTATTGTACCAGGGTATTCCAATATAATTCTGTCTTAATAATAATAATATTATCACGGTAAACATCTCGTTTATATATAAACTAGATATTATAATAAATACAATTATAAAAAACAATTAAAAAAATTATTACAGTATGTTGAGTACAATATTTAAATTAAACAATTCTAAAAATAATTACTAAGTTCAGTCGGCGTTCAAACAAAATAAAATCGAATTGCAATAATATAATTAGAACGCATAACAACCCTTTTGGGACTTGGAAAAGTCGAGGGTTAATAAAACAGAAGAACGGAGCCAATTATAATGGAATCCGCATGAGAATAGAAATTAATAAAGTAAGCAAGACCTGCTATTGTTTAATAAAAACATTAAACAGTCTTTACACATAGGATTAAAATGTTTTAAATATAACCATTGTTTTTTATGTAACTAGAGTACCGAACAAGTTGACGGTCCATGTGACGGTAAATGACAGTCGTCTATATACATGAACAACACCTGTAAGGGAAGTTATCTCCGAACTTCTCACATTTACAGAGTGACTAGTAGTATACAAGTAAATAACGTAGAATAACAGATAAACCTAAATGTATTTCTGAACAAAATAAAATAATATAAAAATATATTTATTACTATGATATAGATTATATCGTAGTAATAAATATATAATATATCATAGCAATAAATATTGAATATAAGTACAGATAATTTACATGAAGGCAGACAAGATGACAATACAGAGTGTATTTCTTTTCAAATATTCAAACATACTTCGTCTACCATACCAGACAGTCTAATCTATTGCACACCTCGTTTTAACAACACCACTAATATTACACTATCTCCTTCTATACTAAATAATTAACTTAATCATTCTCATTCTGTGAATTCACTATCAAATCAATACCACCATCGTCCATACGCGCAATCACTAACAATTTTTTAGGACGTTGTAAAATCACACTATCTCAC